TTCAAAATGGCCATAATAAATAAAATTATTCTCTTCACACAATTGTTACATCTACAAATTCATATAAACATTAACACAAACTTTACGAACATATTTCTGTCATAATGCAAGCTGCATTCTGCAAGCTGTGTCTATTTTTCATAAAGAACAGTAATGTAGACACTGTGTGCTTTTCGTTGACACAGGAACCGAGCAACAATGGAGCTGCTATGACCTCGTTAGCTTATTTGTTAACAAAAGTATGTCCCGGAAAAGTTAGTGGCAAATGTGTAGGTGTAGTGCCTAGAAGCTGGACTATCAGACCAAAGGTGTAAGGTTCGTATTGGCACAGACATATTAAAAACCCCTCCCCCTCAAATAAAAAAAGGGGGGGGGGGGGTGGGAGTCGCCGTGGCGAAGCGGCTAGACGCTCGCGTGCGCATAAGAAGATTGTGGGTTCGCTTCATGTCGAAGTCGTACTTTCTTCAAAAATGACCTTAACTCCCAGGTCTTGAGTGGGTACCGGGTGCAGTCCCCGAAAGTTAAGGCGGCCGGCGTGATGCTGACCACATCAACCTTCTTGTGCTGATTGGTCAATAAAAATATAAATCTAGCCCTATATGCCGTATATGCCTAAATGCGCGAAAAGGGTCCTTCGCTTTGCTTTACTTTTCACGTATCTAGCTGACCCGCAAATACGTGTAACAGTTGTTTTGACAGACGTCTTGTGACAGTTGTTTTGTCAGACGTCTTGTAACAGTTGTTTTGTCAGACGTCTTGTGACAGTTGTTTTGACAGACGTCTTGTGACAGTTGTTTTGTCAGACGTCTTGTGACAGTTGTTTTGTCAGACGTCTTGTAACAGTTGTTTTGTCAGACGTCTTGTGACAGTTGTTTTGTCAGACGGTTTGTGACAGTTGTTTTGTCAGACGTCTTGTGACAGTTGTTTTGTCAGACGTCTTGTGACAGTTGTTTTGTCAGACGTCTTGTGACAGTTGTTTTGTCAGACGTCTTGTGACAGTTGTTTTGTCAGACGTCTTGTGACAGTTGTTTTGTCAGACGTCTTGTAACAGTTGTTTTGTCAGACGGTTTGCTTGTGACAGTTGTTTTTGACAGACGTCTTGTAACAGTTGTTTTTGACAGACGTCTTGTGACAGTTGTTTTGTCAGACGTCTTGTGACAGTTGTTTTGTCAGACGGTTTGTGACAGTTGTTTTGACAGACGTCTTGTGACAGTTGTTTTGTCAGACGTCTTGTAACAGTTGTTTTGTCAGACGTCTTGTAACAGTTGTTTTGACAGACGTCTTGTGACAGTTGTTTTGTCAGACGTCTTGTGACAGTTGTTTTGTCAGACGGTTTGTGACAGTTGTTTTGTCAGACGTCTTGTAACAGTTGTTTTGACAGACGTCTTGTAACAGTTGTTTTGTCAGACGTCTTGTGACAGTTGTTTTGTCAGACGTCTTGTAACAGTTGTTTTGACAGACGTCTTGTGACAGTTGTTTTGTCAGACGTCTTGTAACAGTTGTTTTGTCAGACGTCTTGTAACAGTTGTTTTGTCAGACGTCTTGTAACAGTTGTTTTGTCAGACGTCTTGTAACAGTTGTTTTGACAGACGTCTTGTAACAGTTGTTTTGGACAGACTCTTGTAACATTGTTTTTGTCAGACGTCTTGTAACAGTTGTTTTGACAGACGTCTTGTAACAGTTGTTTTGTCAGACGTCTTGTAACAGTTGTTTTGTCAGACGTCTTGTGTACTGTTGCGTCCCCTTTGCTGTGTATGTTTCAGTTCCACTTTATTTCTACGGAACAATCGGGTGCACAGGTGCCACGGTTTGCACATTCGGATAAGAATTCTCTGGGTACTAATCCCAGAAACCCAATTCAGCTGTCATGTTATAATGAGGCTCCCCACTGCATCCAGACGGGACTTAAATTTACAAAACATGGCGTCCCTTATTGGAGTGGATAAAAATATTATAAGCGGCACTGCATTCTCTGTCTTGTTTGACGTGGACTTACGGTTATGCCCCGCCCCCCCCCCCCCCCATCCCCCCTAAGGACATCGCACTGAGCGATAAACACCTGGTGACACAAAGTGCCACCATGTTAATGAGGATCCCCGTGGAAAGGTCCCGGAAACCGTGTTCAGCCATTAGACAATAATTATGGTCGGGCTAAATTGCCGCCCCTCGGCAAGAGCGAGAGTGGGGCTTCAAAAAAAATTTGCATCCCACAAGTTGATGAAACTAGTTTCTGTGTCTCTCTATCTATCTTCTATTACCCCACCAGGACTTCACTAAAGCGATAAACACCCAATGACACAAAGTGCCACCATGTGGATGAGGATCATCCGTGGTGAGGTCCCGGAAACCGCGTTCAGCCATTAGACTATATTATAGCCGGGCTTTATTGCGCCCCTGGCAAGAGACAGGGTGGGGCTCCAAAATAACAAACATTGCATCGCACAAGGAGATGAAACTAGTCTCAGTGTGTTTTTCCTAACATCCCCCCCCCCCCCCAAGCAGTGCCAAGGTTCAACCGCTATCTTATTAGTTAACATCATCATCGTCATCATCAGGTGCCTTGCCGACTGGCGTGGGCGATCATGCCGCTCCATAATCCACGATCTCCTGCAGCATATATCAGTTAACATAGCTTCCAGAAATGATAAGAATAAAACATAAAACAGCGACACTCGTTTGCCTGTGCAGTCTGAGAAAGTTGTCAGTCATTTGTCTTAGTCGTGGTCGAGCCGTCACTTTACGTCACGCTTTTATGTATATTACATTCTCAGGAGACGTTAGGGCTTGTGTGTTTGTGTTGTTGCCTCCCCTTGAATGTGTATGTTTTAATCTCTCTTTATTTCTATGCCCTAGCTCCTCAGTAGTACATGTTGTAATTACTTAGAAGTTCCCAAACCAGTTTAGCTTATCTAATCTAGAGTTAACCAAACATTTTAAGAAAATACCAAGCTAATCAAACAGCCTACAAGGTTACAACATAAGACCGGAAAGAAGACACAACAACATAAAATGTGCTCGGGAAGCTACTATTCCGTCCCATTGTGGGAGACAATTTTTTACATTTGTTTTTTGTTTTTGTTTTAAGGCCCCACCGTAACTGTCGTCGGGGCCCCTAATATAATCTAACTGTTTTATAGGGTTTCCAGGACTTGCACCTAGGGGAATCTCATCCAAATAGGGGCACTTTGTGTCACCATGTTTTAATCACTCGTTGTGTTGTCCCGTAGGGTTGAACTTCAATCCCTCACGTACGCGAAAAGCTAAAAGAAAACGAAACCAAAATGAAAGTGCATGAGAATGGGGAATACATCAAAAAAAAAATTAAAATCGGTAAATTCTTGCTGAACTTTGATCCCGGCAGGACTATAAACGCCTTAATTAGCAGACGCGTTCTCAAAAGAGACGACTGATTTGATCACCGCATAAAGATTGTACGGCAGTAACAACTTGTCGCTTTCAGCTTGGTGGTCATATCAATATAAAACATGGCAGACTGGTTTAACCGCCGCATTGTGAATACCCATACAATGTTCACCGAAACTTCAGATGTCCTGTAGGTTTCCCCAATGTGGGAGTTTTTTGCATTGTTTGCTTATCAACAGACTATGTCACACATTAGCTTAAGTTTTTCAAATGTACACGCTTTTTAATCTTAAAACAGTCACTCAATAAGCAGCCCGGGAAATTTAGGAACACAAGCAAATGTATTTTGCGTCTAGTGCGTGAGTATTTGGATGTTCTAAAAGCAAGTGCTGTGTGGATTGACGGTAAGGATACATTTAATTCGGTTGTAACATTTTTACTTGTTGTCCTGGTGGGATACAACAAGCCCTCTTGCAAGTCATGTAGTCGGATTAGCGCTTCCATGTATATACGTCAAAAGTAACTTGTATTAATCATTTCCGTCTGTATGAATATTGGTTGTTGATTTTTGTTAAACAAAACGTGAACGTTGCGGCTATGGGGCTTTCATTAGCACATACACAAATCAAACAATACCACACAAATACACAAAATCACTTAGCTGGCATCTCGAAGCAGCCGGGTCGATGACTTCTCAGCAGACTGCCGACACGCGTGGGCCAGAGAAATAAATACCCCCTATGGAGTAACAGGGGCCATAACTGAGGGGTTATGTCTAGTTATGTCCAGTTGTGTTTGTCCAGCCTAGGTTTCTGTTATCCCGTTGAATTACTGTCAATAGGGAAGGGAGGGGGAGGACGAAACAGGCGCGGAAGACGATAAAGAGATGCTGTATAGGTAGACTTACAACCACTTGGGGTAACGATCTGACAAGAAAAGGCCACTAAAAAGAGATACTTGGAAGCAGGGGGATATCTGCAGCAGTAAATATCAAGGGATTGGAATGTTGAAGAAGTAGTAAGTTCCAATCAGTAATACCTAATGTTGGCGTTGGATAGAACATGCATTGGGAAAACCTGACAACAATATAACTAGAATGTCCTTGCACCTGAACCCACAGGCGCATGTTAATACAGGAAGACCAAAAAACACAAGGAGAAGAGAGACAGAGAGTGAAATTAAAAAGATGGCGAGGACATGGGAAGAGCTGCATGCAAACGATTTTGCATGATTTGGTTGAATGCCTATGCACCATTGCAGGTTAGAAGAGCAGAAGAAGAAGAGAAGGATACCTAATTTCGCATGAATTCATTTTATATCTGATAATTTACCTTCGATAGGTTCCCCACTGGTGACCCGAGGTGACCTTGACCGAGTGTAGATCTTGAAAGCGGCTGCATTGGGCTGGAACCTGGACACCGAGTTGACCAAATAACTACAGTGACTACTAGCATCCGTTGCTGCTTGAGAAGCCACCCCGGCGATGAAGCAAACTAAACTGCTAACGGTCAGTATCAGTCCAGCAGTTGCCATTTTGTTTCAGACGTCTTCTTGAAACACTTCGCTCAACTTGCAGATACTAATGGCGGGTGCGTCAACGAGACAAAGCTGCTGCTACTGCTGCAACAAGTAACGTCTCCAGGGCGACCTGACAACACACTGCGCCGTTGGGGAGATATGTAGTCATCCGCGCTCTCCGGCAAGTTTGGAGACATTGTAACGGTGTTAAAAAAAAGCAGTCTCCACGGCTCAAAACCCGGCCATAAATTTCCTGTCAACTGAGAATCCTTGCTATATTCAAAACAGACAGCATGTTTCGTCATTTCCTGTATTAAAACGAGGCAAGAGCACGAGCTTCTCTTATACCTCTAGAGACCGATAAATAGCGGCTAATTTTCGCTTAATGTAACAAGGAACATTTTACGAAATTATAAAACGCAAGAAATGAAATAGTCTTGCTGCTTTTACTGCTGCGTCAATTTTATAAGGCCGTGTGACAGGGAGGTGCAAGCTGGGAAAGGAAATTGCATGACTACAGACGCCACCCGGAAATGTGTATGTAGGTTAGATTCTCTCTCTCTCTCTCTCTCTCTCTCTCTCTCTCTCTCTCTCTCTCTCTCTCCCCCCCCCCTTTCCTTCTTTTATCCGAAACAAAAAAACTAATCTCATTGAAAATCACACCTTAGTTTTCCCACAAGAAAACTTATAATTATAATAGCTCAAACACTACTAGTAAAACATATTATGTTTGAAGGTTTGAACAACGGATCAACATCATGGCACACGAGTAAAAAGTAAAGTAAAGATCCCTTTACACGCCATTGGGCGCATCGGGCATATGGGAAGAGCACCCATATTTTTTTACAGACCAATCGGCACTCGGTGGGTAATGTGGTCAGCATTACGCCGGCCGTCTTCACTTTCCCAGGACAGCCCATCCTGGTACCCATTTGAGGTTGGGTCGACCTGCGACGTCCCATACCACGATAAAAATCCACGCAGCTTGCAGTGGGTTTCGATCGCGGTATGTTGGATTACGAGTCAGACTCGCAACGCCGTAGCCACGGACGCCGCATCCGTTCTTCTTCTAACTCAAGTCCGAAGAAGCTTAGCACAGTGCACAGGCTCTGTAGCACCAGAGAGCATCCTGAAATACTTTCGGTAGACTTTACCTTATTTTGCCCTGGCGTTGTGCTTCTCTGTTTTTATTTATTTGTTCTTTCCATCTGCCAAAAGAATATTTACGTACGCTACAATGTGTGTCCGATCCCACTACCCAGAGACAAGGGAAATTACTAGAACTCCAAGTCCACGTGAAAAAATCCCAACCCTTACCGGGAATTGAACCCGGAACCTCTAAACATTAAAATTCACTTTATTGCTGTTGTTGCTGTTAGCAGTTTGCGTGTGTTTCACACTTCAACATATCGGTGCTTTATTAATATCTTACCCCAAACAGGGGAAATCCCCAGGTCACGGGACAGTCTAATATTTCAGGGGGTGGAGGGGGGGGGGTATAAGATAGCCTGCATGCAGTCGTAGGACCTAGGCTGCACTCTCTTGTGGAACGTATATGGGTTAGGGTTAGGCCTAGTTCTATATGTTTTTCATCATCATCATCAGGTGCCTTGCCGACTGGCGTGGGCAATCATGCCTCTCCATAATCCGCGATCTCCTGCAGCATGTATCAGTTCGTGTGCCGACACACCTCCATGCCATGCAACAAGACTGTCAAGCATCTTCCTCCGTTGTTCTTCCTCTATCCCTCCTTCCACAGATCTTTCCAGTGGTCACAACATGTTCTATTTTCCCTCTTCTCATAACATGGCCGAAAAATGATGACTGTCTCCTTCTGATGTCAGTGATAAGTTGTCTTCGGGCTCTCCAGGCCTCTTTTACAGCCTCTTGGTTGCTCTTTTTGGCTGTCCAAGGTATTCTAAGCATTCTTCTGTAAAACCACATCTCTGAGGCCTCTAAAAATTGTTTGGCCTGCCTACCGATTTGTCCAGGATTCACATCCATATGTTAAAACTGGGTGTATGTAGCAAGCAAGATTCTTTTTCTAACTCTCAATGACAAGGATACATTGCACAAGATGTTTTTTTCATTTATGAAAATGCAGTTTTTGCCTGTCCCAATTCTGTTTCTTATTTCAGTTATGCATCTTCATCTGATGTTATCCATGTGCCCAGATACTTAAATTTCTGTACTTGTCTTAAAATAACACCATTGACTTTTATTACACATTTAGGAATAATTTGTTTCTTTGATATCACCATTACTTCTGTCTTCCCATTATTCAAACTGAGGCCCATTCTTCCACTTTCTAACATCACAATGTCTATCATTTCCTGTAATTCTTTCTGACTTGTTGCTATCAAGACTGTGTCATCAGCATAACGTAAATTGTTTATATTGTGCCTACCAACCACGATTCCGGGCATATCAATTAAAGATCTCATAATATATTCACTGTATATTGAAAACAAATCAGGTGAAAGTACACATCCTTGTCGTACGCCCCTCTTTATGCTTTGAAATGTACCTAAACAGTTGTTAATTCTTATAGCTGCTGTTTGCTGCCAATACATATTCTTTATTATTCTTAGATCTTTCCCATTAATATTTAATTTTTCTAACAGTTTGATTACTTCTTCATGCTTCACACAGTCAAATGCTTTTGTATAGTCTATGAAGCATAAGTACAAATCAGTCTTTACTTCTATAGCTCTTTCTGACAATGTCCTTAATATGTTTTTAGGTCGTTAAAATCCTCAGAAAGCTAGGAAACATAGTCTTACCTCTCTCTAAACTGTTGGACTGTCTCGTGACGTCATCTGGGGTATGATATTAATAAAGAACCGGAATTTCTTTCTGATGATGACGATAATTTCAGTTTTCTCGCAATCTTATTCTAAGCCTAGTTTCTCACTGTAAACTTCTTCTTTATTTAACGTTGACCACTTTCAGCTAGGTCAGAGGACATTGCAGCTTTCTTTCCTGTTCGCTATGTTTGTGTTGTCGTTTCTGGTCTTTATCTCATTAATTGGCAATGAAAAAGCTGACATAGCAGCCAAAAAGGGAGCAAAATGTGATGTTTTAATAGATGTAGGACTTGGAAAAACAGAAAGGACCAGCATAATCAAACGACATATAATTAAAATGTGGAAACTGCAATGGCAAGGGAGCAATAATGGTAGAGATGCGCTACAATAACCTTAAAGAGCCCAGCCTTACACACAGGTACGGGACAAACTGAAATTCCAGCCACAAAACTACTATGGAGAGCTAGATTAGGGATGGCACCCAGAGAAATTTACATCTCCACTATGATGTCTGGACTGCTTTCAAGATAATATTCTAGAGCATTATATAATCAACTGCACTATATAAATTGGGAAAGGAAACCCAGTTGAGGAGTTTTTTTCTACAGGAACGCAAACAACAAATTACTGCAAACTAAATGTTTAATGTTATATATCAATAAGACATCCAAAAACTGGTTAAACAATATCCCCCTTCTTCAAAACAATCAAAAACTAAAGAAGAACAGAATTAGGGATTTACACAGTATATAACAGAAGACTCGATTGAGATGGTAAACCCCCGGACCTCCTAAATTCAGAGAGATAGTGTAAGTATGATGAGTGCATAGCTTGTGAACATGGACCACATACATATAGGATGAGTGCGTTGTAGTATGAGTGCATTTGTGTTATAGGATGGATACCATAAGACACAGGTGTATGTAGTTTGGATGGTCTACGGAATCCATGTGTGGATGGAACCGTGGGAATATAGGTTGTGCGAAAGGTACAGATGAATGAGTACATGTATTTAAATGTCTTACTGTATGCATGTAGATTGTGTGTATGAGTGTGCATGTTGTGTATATATATATGAGAGCGTGGCATACCTTATATATTTGGGAGTGTATGATGACAGTGCCAATCAAGAAACCATAACTGTGTTGCTGTATGGGCGTTCATGATTGATAACAAAGGATGAAGGGGTGTAAGCAGAAAACAAAGAACTTCATCACCGCACACCATCCACCAAAACATGATACGTCAGTACCGGACAGATCACATACCGGAACGTGGTGAATGTACTCTTTTTTTTAATAAAGTAATCGGCATTGTAACGCATATAAAGAGTTTTCGTGTGTACGAAAGCA